ATTTCCATGTACTGATTTTTTTTTTTTTATGGCTGAAGCAAAGTTTTTGAGATTCAGCTCTTTGTGCTGTCATTTTTTCTACTGCATATCAAATGCTGGATGCATACAGAGACAGTAGGAAAGAACAGGAAAAAAGATATTCCCTATAGGCAGTAAACTTGTCATTCTTTTTTGAAAAGAAATAAAAAATTAAAGAGATTTATAGCTTTAAGCTGTTCATCCTAGAGCATTCAGTGAGATACTAGTCAGATCCAGAGGGGAAAAATGCTGCAGATCTGACTAGGTTCCAACCTCAAGTACTCCTGTGAGCTACAGCTTAACTTTCAGTTCTTTTGTGTTGCTTTTCAAAAAGCGTCAGCTATTGCAACTACTGTTCAACCAAATTCTTCAGAGCTGAAACAGAAGTTGACAAAGCCTATGAATATGAAACACGGAGATCATTGTGCTAGGTTCTGCTCAGACTCTGCACTTGAACAGCAGCAGAAGATTAAAATGTATCTCTCTGATCTGCTCCTAACAGCAATGAAATAAATATCTGTAATACTGCTTAAATATAAAAATTGCACTCCCTTCAGTGCTGTCTCCTCAGCATATGGCTTCCAGGTGTAGGGCTTTTGCTGTAGTACTGGTTGTCAGGCACTGTGATATGAGGGACTTCCTTTCCCTCAGGACAGCAGTGCTTCTAGAAGACCATTTGTTTTAGTAAGGGTGATAAGGGTTGTCATCTGAACAGCAGCCAGATATTCAGAGGCCTGACTGAAAAGGAAAAGATAGAAATGCAAACAAAATCTGTCATTCTTGAAACCCTTCCTTGGGTCCAGCCCTGCAGATTTCTTGTCTTCATCAGTGAAGACAGCAGTGGGCACCCTGAGTTGTACAGTCCTTTTTCTCACCAGCCATCATTCACTGCTGCTTTGGTTTACAGTTAGATTGCTTTCCAGCAAGAGGCAGTTTTAGGCTTAAATGCAAATCAGTTGGAAGACTCACTGATCCTAGAGAAATTGGAGGAGATAAAAGTAGATCTACCTCCAGGTATGAAGGAGTGGGTGAATCTCACTGCCATTTCTTTGTCAGTTGTGCAGGAAATCTGTGACTTACTGGTAACGGTGGTTCTTCAAGGTGCTTTGTCCACATAAATCTCACACCTCTCTATGCTTCTGCTCCTGTGAAGTCCTAGTACCCATAAATCCCACTCTGCCAGCAGTAGCGTTATGCATGTCCGCATGCTCTCAGGCTGAAGCCAACGTTGTTTGCCAAAATAATGCAGCATTTCTTGAGCAGCACTTATGAACACATGAGATGGAAACTTGGGGGGGGGGAAAGCAGTTACGGTAAGATATAAGTAACTGTTCTTCCATCTTATTAAAAATTTGGAAACTATTTAAAATTCATTAGAAATTTGAATGTTAAAAATGAACCAGGCAAGGAGAGGTCAGAACTTGTTGTAACTGTTCATAAATACAGTATGTCATTGTGGATGTTACACACATCTGTGGATATGTGCCCATAATGCCCATGTACCACAGTCTATTCTATTTACTTATTTCTAAATATTTTCTACAGTAACCTAAAATTGAATAAGGGCAAGGGACTGGAAAGCCATTTCTTCCTTACTGCTTTCCGCCTTTATCCCTGACAGCCTGAAATTTGGGTGAGACTTCTGCATGACTGATGTTCACTTTATACTAAAAATTCTTCTGTTGAAACTGGGGTGAAAGGAAAATCTAACTTGCTCAAGAAAAACCCCTAAACAAGTGATTTTTTTTTTTTAGAAGTTGAATAGGGGGATTTTTTTATATGAGTTTAAATAGTTAGAAATCCTAGTTTTCTCAGAGTTCTATGTAAAATCACAACCTTATACAGGAAGACAGAGTTGGTTCCAACTTTGCAACTAGAGGGAATGGCTAATTGTTTGCAGTTTCTCCAGGAACTGGACTGATGTAATAGAAAACAACTTGATCCTCACATAAAGGAGCACAGCAAACCAGTGAAGGAAAGGCTTAGCGATTTCCCTTTGAAATCCTTTCAGCTTGGTTTAAAATAAGTCTTAAAATAAGGTTCTTAGATCTTTGTGTCCAGTACTGGAAGGAAGTGTATTAGCAAGAAAAGCTCCTTCAGATTATGAAGACCACACGCAGCTTGTTAAAAATAGACTCGCCTAGGAGTTGTGCATTGCGCTGCCACGTGTTGCATGTTTAGCACCCCAGGCTTGATATAGCATTGAGGGAGCAAGCAGAGTCTGCGATTGCTAGGGAGGACTATTGTGTGCTGCTGAGCAAAAAGTACGGATCTCGAAGCACAAAGGTCTAAAGAGAATCATATCCAGGCTCCCTCGTGCAGACAGAAGGTTAGTGAAATAATGAGCCTTTCAATAGCAAAGGAATGGTCCCGAAACCATTCTTTCCCATTACGAAAATACGTAAATGACATAAACCTCTGGTTTGCTTTTTCAATCCTGTGAGTACTTTGTACAGCTGGGGTGTAGTAGAATGCTAAACTTCAGGCAAGGCGGATGCTTATCCTGCTGTTTGTCTCTGCTGTCTGGTGAAAGAAACAAGTCTCCTTCTGGCTCAGGTTCACTATCCAGGCTTGATGCCTGGATTTCTGCTGCCCTGCTGGGCCTTCTAATAACATGCATATTCTGAAAACGTGTTCCTTCTTGCAACTTCTCTGTTTAGAAGCTTGAAAATGGAGCATGACAAATATGCTGTATTTTTTTGGCCATTTGGGCTGCTTCCTAATGATGATTCCATGTTAAACAGCAATGCTTGATTCTTGCACTTTCTTGCACTCTGGACTTTGCTGTCCAGAAAAGATGATTCATCTTGAAGCTAAGCCACTAATTGCTAAGACTTTTTTACATTTTACTGTGTTGCATTTTGCAATTGGCGTTGTGTAATGGTAGCTTTTTCAAATGCATTATCAAAGGTAGTGCTAAGTGTCGTTAACTACTCTGGTTCGTGTACACTGAAATTTCTTCATTATATACTTGGGGCTTGAAGAAATTTCATGGTTTCCCAGTGTCAAGATGCAGGATAGAAGTCTTGTGCATAATTTACAGAGCTTTGGTCAAACTTGGATGAAGATGCTGGCAGAGAGAGAAGGTAGAGAAAGTTATTTCCTTTTGTACTTGCAGTAGGGACAACTCTCCCAAAAAAAAGCCGTGCTTCATTCATTCATCATCTTTAGCTTGGATTTTGGTCTTCACAGTGTTGGCATGAGACCAAATAGTGACGAGCTTGTTTTCAACATAGGTAAACTGACAGGAGTAAGGGGTTTAATTTTTTTTTGGGAAAGCAGACCCTGCTTCCCTGACTCGGTTTCCTTGATTGATTTGTGTGCCCTCTTTATACTGAAAATAAAGTATTGCAGTTAGCAGTGATGGAAGTACACTCTTCGCCTACTTGCATTTTTGTACATTTTTCAACGTGTGTAATGGAGCAGCCAAACCCAACATGACAAAGCGTAGAATTTGATATGCTAGTTGACTTTGTTTTTCTTGGAAGATCTTCTGTGATCATAATGTTACGCATGGTCATATATAATTTACTGTTGTTATCAACTACTCTGAGAATGGAATCACTTCACTAAGCCCTAACAGGACCAACAGTGTGGGAGGTGTAATGAAATCCCTCCAAATCCCCAGCCTTGTTTGAGCACATGTAGAGTTCAGAAAGCTGTAATACATGATCACTTGTATTACTTAAAAAGTATTATAGTTCAGCAGCATGTTATATGAAATCTTTGGTAATGAAATTGTAAGCCCTTTAAAAATTGTATTTCTATAGCAATTTTTGAAGTGGTGCATTGAGCTGGCTGTTCCCCTGTAAACTTTGTTGCAGTCTGTGGTGCACATCTTACTATTTTCTTCTCTCTGAACTTGTATCCTCTTCATTCCAAAGTAAAACTGATTCAGTAACAGAAGTATCTACCGAGAGTCTGAAGGATGGCCATCTTCTGTCAGCTCTGGAGTTTTGCTTGGTTTCTGTAGGTCTTGCTGAAACTTCTTGCTGGAACTACTTGTGCTGCAGAAGGCTTGCACAGAAGCTGTCAGCATTAAATGGAATAGCTCAAACAAAACAAGCTCCCATCAAGCCCTAAATAGCAAAATATCATAATGTTAAAGAGTTGAATATTAGTGGCATTTCCAGTAAAAGAGAACCAAAATATATCTGTGGAGGCAGATAGACAATTTTTCGCTGTCTTGTTTGCAAATAACTTCAATTTCTGGAAGTGAAAATGAATTCTTATTTTTAAGAGCACAGGCTCTTACCTAGTTTCCTGGCTATGGTCACATGAAAATCTTTCCGATACTAATTTTGTTACTTTCTTTCCTTTCAATTATCTATAGTTTGTTTTACTGGAGGTCTGCTCATTTGCAAGTTCCTGTTTGAGTGTACTGACAGTTATTCTTGATATGGTGGAATTATTTCCCTGCTTTCAGTGGAGTTAGCAACGTGTCTCAAGTTAGCAACAGAAATTGGATGTATAATACAGCCATTCTGATGGACTCTTAATAAACGTGCTTAAATACAGCTAGCCCTGTGGCAGTCCATAAATGCACAGTTCTGCTTGTCGTTACACTTCACTAATAGCCTTTTTGCTGATTTCCATCCCTGCAGCGGTACTGCTATTGAAGCCAAGGCAAATTAATTTTCCATCCTATTTAATGATGATAATCTGTATCAAATGCTTTATTAAAGACAAGATATTCTACATAATTATTAAACAGTATTTATTTAGCATTACAAACTTTCCATTTGGTAATCAGAAACAGTTGTTCCAGGAATTTGACGAGTGCTTGAAAGGTATTTAATTGTTATTGGACAAGTACTTTCCAGTGGGGAACTTGCATTCAGAACAAAGGGAATAATGTGTTTAGGAGATTCGAAGATAGACTTTGTTATAGTCTCTGTGATATTGTCTTTTGCCATGTCAAGCACCAGGACTTTACTACATATCCTTGCAATGAAAATCTGTTTTTTTGTCTAACAAGCGTGTGTTGTTTCAGACTCCATGACAGAAAGATGTGTATTATAGGACTGAGCATCCTAATGGAATTGCAGAACCGACCGCCTGCAGTGGATGCTGTGGCTGCCCAGATTGTCCCTTCAATCCTCCTCCTCTTCCTGGGTTTAAAACAAGTTTGCGCCTCACGAGAACTCACAGAACATGAGGATCATGCAAAAGATGAAAAACACGTTGCAGAAGATAATGGTAAAATCTTCCCTTTTCACATTGTGGATTTTGTCTGGATTTAATTTAAAGGGGGTAAGAAATTGCAGTTCATTTTTAAGACTCATTAGTCTGCTGAAAATAGCTCGCCTTACTGGAGACTTGAAAGATCATCTTAGGAATTGATTTTTCTTCCCCAAATGTAATCAAAACATTCCAATGTATAACAGCTAACAGTTTGTGAAAGGGTAGTATTGGTTTCAGAGTAATAAAACGTGCAAGTCCACCTTTCTGGGTTCTGAATGTGCTCTGTCTTTTCACATTGGCAGCGGGAGTTTTCCAGGACTGCACTGATACATTCTTGATTCCTGGAAAGAAGCTGTTCCTAGTACCCAACGATTTAAAATACCTGTTTAGTTGAACTTTGAAGGAAATCCTAGCAAATCGTCTTTGTCCAGATGGAAAGTGATTTGCAAAGTGAGGTTTGAGACAGCTGAGGTTCCTGGAGTAGACAGACCTCTTACTGCTGTGTCTGCCAGAAGAGAAAAAACACCAAAGAATACCTTGTGGGGGGGATTGTGGGGAGTTAATTTTTCACAGCATTGCAGGCAGATATGTGTGGCTGTATTTGCCTTGGAACAGGAGATAGATGGTTTGAGGTCTGAAAATTAGATTGGATATAAGAAGATTATGTAATCCACTCAAATTTCACACATGATTGTTCTGTAATGGAATTACAGAATGCTTATGAATACGGCATGAAACAGCTCAGTGATTTTAAAATCTCTGTCCTGTGATTCAGTCCCTGTTTGTTGCATACATGGTCATCTTTATTCTTTCTAAACTGTTAACACAGGAAGAGCTGAAGGTTTGGATTTGGAGGGGGATTTTTGTTATCTTGATTATAAGTCAGAAATATTTTTCCCTAAGTAACAAATAGCAGTGTTTAGAATTGCATGTTGGAGTTCCATTTAATTCAGGATGTAATAGTTGTTTCATAAGCGGAATGTAAGGTAAAGCTAAGCAAAATGTGCTGTTTTAAGTTGTTCAAATAAAGGAGCACTCTGAAGAATAGCAGGCAGACATTTGGTCTACATCTGGTTTTCTCTTTGTTTTGTGTCAATTTGTGAAGCCTATGCAAGTCTTTATTTGTTTGTAATTTAGAAAGCACAGTGATGGAACACTTTGTCAGAGACATATTTCCTCAAAATTTTTGGATCTATAATTGCACAATGCAATTGAAATTGCATAAATGAAAGAAGAAAAAAGATGGCAGTTTCACATTCCCCCGGTGTGCTTAGAAACTAAAGTTTAACTGATCTTGAATATAGGAAACATTTTAACAGCTTCATTTTTCCAATCCTTCTAAGATTTTGGGGGAAGAGTGTTAACAGAGGGTCCCCTTTCCAGCCAAAACCTAGATTTGTTAATTGTTCTTCATTCACAAGTCATTGTTTCCTTGTACTTTTTAAACTTTGTTTTACAAAACACATCAATGCTTTTGCAGAAGAGATACCAAGTGATGAGGAGGAGACAAATGAAGTGAGCCAGGCAATGCAGCAGAACCATGGTGGAGGCGGAGGAGGTGGTGGTGGTGATGGAGGTGGAGAGGAAGAGGATGAAGATGATGATGATGACTGGGATGAAGATGCATTGGAAGAGACTGCTCTTGAAGGGTTCAGCACACCTCTTGACCTTGAAAATGGTGTTGATGAATATCAGTTTTTTACACAAGCACTTTTAGGTGTGTGTTTGATAGTTGGCAGAATGATATAACATGATGAAATAGTTTGGAGATGTTTAAGATCATCACCTGGACAAACCCTTTTATTTGTTATGAGTAATAATTTAAGTAATTGAAATTAGAAAATGTGATCTTGCTTTCTAATGTTAGTCCTAAGATTTTTTGACTTACAAGTACTGCAAAAAATAAAGGGTAGCAAATACAGCTAGAGATAATTCTCCTCATGTTCTCTTTCTGAGCTTTTAGATCACAGCCTAGATAAGTGGGACTTCGTCACTAGAGGGACTCCTATATATAGAAATGTTTGTCACTTTCTAGATGTTAAAATCATAATGGAGAAATCATTTTCTCCCTTTCCTCTGTGACTAATCCTGTTGCTTTTGGTATTGATACAAGTTTTAAATTGGAAGATTCACTTCATTGTTCATGAATAATGGCCACATGGTTAACTTTCTGTTTCAGAGGGCAGAGGATGTAATTAAAGTTCCTCAAAATAGATTTGCCTCTATTACAGTGGGGATTCTGTGCTAAGAAAACTGACAGGAATACTGAACTGGTTTTAAAGCACAAATTATTTTTAAAACCAACTAGGAGTTCTGTGTGGTTTGTTTTGTTTTGTTTTTGAAAATGCAATGTAACCTGATAATCACTTTTCATCTATTCCTGTTGTGACAGCGGTGCAGAGCCGAGATGCAGCCTGGTACCATTCACTGACAGCACCGTTGAGTGAGGATCAGAAGAAGCAGCTGCAGGAAATTTATACATTAGCAGAACACCGGCGAAATGCTGCAGGTGAGTCACTTCTCTGGGGCCATTTTATCTGTTGGAGGGATGTTGGAACTGCATCTAGTCTGTAACAACAGAGAGAATAAATCTCTGTGCTAATTAACATTGCCTGTGAACCATGAGTAAGATATTGCACTTATATTATCCCTTGTCTGGAAGTGTGAGATTACTGTTGCTTTTAATTATTTGCCTACTCATTGACATGTGCTGCTGTTTGAACAGGTTACAAACTGGTTTTGCGCAATCTGACATTTGAAATGAAGAGCAAATTAAGGCAATATCTAGCTGTCAGCTAGGCATTTCATTAAATTACTATAGATTATTATGTTTTTAATGGTTTTGTAACTTTTTAACTGCTAACATTGCCTTCACAGTCAGTGTAAGGTTTTAGTTGTTTAGAAAAGTTGCATCATGGAAAGTAAATTCAGATTTAATCAAAAAGCACACAGAATAGTGTAACATAGATTCTGTAGAGGATTAATTTCTCAGCTCTGTGTAGAGGTGTGTGTGTTTATGCATCAAGAGAAAATCTGAGTGTAATTTCTTACTGTCACTGCATTTAGGGAATGAAATTTTGACACAACCAAGAGTTTTTTCCACAACTTTGCATTCTTAGCTGAGCTGTGTTGTCTCTGGCAAAAGTGTTCTCTATAGACTATTTTTCATATCCTTTCCCTTCTTTGGATTCTAGAGACTAAGACAATAGAACAACAAAGTGGCTACACATTTGACAACAAAGGACTGATCACAGCATTTAACTTTGCTGGAAGTACTCCTGGTGGCAACTGAAGGATCAACTACAAAGGTTGACGGGAAGGGTCTCACCATTATATTTTCTTGAAATCATCATGACTTCTGAGTGAGAGGGGAGGGTAATTTAATGCTGCTGAAGGTTGTCTGGAAAACAGCAGTGTGCTTCCCCAACCAGGATGCTCTTTCTAACCAGCTACTGTAATGTACAAATTCTTGTGGTGTTTTTATAATTTGATGGACTGAAAGGAAACATTTGTCCTCAAGGAACCTGAATGACTGGGAGGGGCCAGGCTGCATCTGATTGAGTTGCACTTCTCAGGTTTTTGCTGTGCAGAATTGATAAGATTCATATGGATAACAGTGCCTTCTGTTGTACATGGATTGCCTGAACAAATGGATTTTGGAGTGCATTATAATTTTTTAGGTGTAAGGACATTTCTTGAAACACTGTAAGCCTTGGTTCCATATTTTCCTGTCACCTGCTTTTTACTACTCCGTTTAATTGTTTGTTGGTTGCATACACATTGCTGGATTCAGAATATTATCTCATCTTCCCTATTTGGTGCAGACCAAAGGTGTAGAGGGAGATGGCTGTTGGAATTGCAGAGCATACACTGGTTACGTCAGAGGGTTTTAACAAAATTGCAGATTTTCCCTTGATGCAGTAGTCTTAAATAATTTCTCTTAGACATTAAATCAACTCATTTGAGTTATGATGGCACACGCATGGCAGGTGGCTACCCTAAATGTACAATGATATTACCTCCTGCCTGGGGAAGCGGTGTGGCCCTTGCATGTAGATGTTCTACATGACAACTTTTTATTTCCACTATTTTTTATGAATATTGGATTTTACTTGGGGTTATATAAACCTCTTTTCTGTTTTTATTCATTCATTACCATTCCAGTGGTAGTACTGAATAGTGTGGTACAAAATATTTACAATATTTTATTTATCTTGATAGGATAAAAACAGCTCCAAAATTATTTCTCCTTACTCTTCAACTTCTGTGATTAGATTTCTGGTTTGCATTCCACTTGGATATTCTTGTCCCTTGCTGAAATTTCATTATCTGCCAGATTTTTTCCTAAATTTCAAAGGCTGATTTCTCAAAAATTGAAACACATCTAACAAGGTGTTTGTGAATATGTTAATTTAGTGAGAAACTGATAGCAGTACTAATTTGAATAGGTGCCCCTCCTTTAAGATCTGTTGGGATCGCAGTGATGTAGCCAAAAAAAAAAAAAGGGGGTGCTTTAGAATGTGAAGTTTGGATTGGAGATAAAATGTTTAGACCAGATTTTGTCTTTCTCTAGGTGTTCATTTCTTTGACTTAAAAATATTTGAGAAGCAATTTTAAGCATTTACCAATAATGTATTTCTTTAGAGCAGTGCCTCAACTGAAAAGTCAAAGCCCTTCCCATAGCCCATCAATTTTTCAATGATTGTAGCAAAGCACAGATTGCTGGCCCTGCACTATGCTGAAGCTTTCATTTTTTATATGTCAGAGTAATTATAATTTAGTCAGATAAACCTGAAGCGCTCTACGCCTTGGCTTCTGGAAAAGGCCAAAGTGTCTCTGCCTGTTCCTTGCCCCATCTCCAGGAATTTTCTCAGCCTGGCAGCTGTGGGGCAGAAGGTTCCCCACCGCTTTAATTTTTCCTGCACGGTTGTGTCAGACTCTCTCAGTGAAAATTTCTCACTTTTAAGTCTGTTGTACACATGTAAAACTGTGAGAATTCTGGGGCGAATTTCCAAAAAAGAACAATACATTGAGCTGCATTGGACAGGCTCTTTAAGCTCGAGAAGCAGAGGGCCGGGACATCCTTTATTTTGAACATCAAGCCATGAAAATTATAGGTCACTTTTGCTAATTTAGGGCTGGAGATGTATTGAAACTGCGAAGGTAGGAAAGCATTACATCCAGTTTGTTGGTGAGTTTCTCAGAGACTAGAAATTTTGAAATCCTTCACAAATTTAAGAAATGTTTTTTGGAAGTTAAGGACTTGGACAACTTCTCTCCTACCTGAGAACTGAGGTGAAGTATTAGGCAGATAAACTGTGTAAACCCTTTATTATTTTATCAAAAAAAAAGAGACTGTCGAGTCGGGTTTCTTTCAAAGCCCATTTGCCTTCTCTACACTGAAGAGAGGTTTATTTTTCTTCTGCTAATGAGGTTGCTTGCACAGTCACAAGCTAATATTTAGGAGTTAATGTATTCAAGGAGAAATCTGCTTTTGCACAGCATCGTCTTTGTGTCACTCGGCTGAACTATGGCTGCTCCCTAGTTCTGCTTCTTGTATACTTTTTGAATCAACTGCCAAGAAAATTTCATCCAGATGTTTCTTACAAGAGGTTTAATCAGCAACGTGGAGTCGGGAATCTTTGTTGTGTATTTTGCAGTGGGGGTCAGAGATGTCTGAGGGGATGGCATGTAAAAAGGTTAAATGCCCTTCCCTTCCTGGGAGATTCATGAGCAAATGTTTCTACTGGCAAAAGCAAATGTTAATTGTTTTATTCCTTTTTTTTTAAAAGGGTTTTCATCCAAAAAGATTTATTTGGCTCTAGCCTCCACTTTAACATATGGTTCTCTTTTAACATGATAAATATCCGTTTGTACATGATCATAAATAGGTAATGGATTTTAGGGAATTCTTTCTGAGCTGTGTCCAGCTTTGTACTACATTAAAGGGAGAGCAACACAAATGTGCATTACTGTCTCACTTTGAAGCCAAGGTAATCATGGAGTATCATATACCAGCATCGGACAGCCGAGCATGGTGTATTTGCTGTTGGAAGTACAGAGAATCATGAATGTATTGTAAAATAAAACAAAGGCTGATAACCAGTGACCTATGTTGCCCCATGCCCATGTTCCAAAAGTGTGAAAGTGACTCGTATGGGCACCATGGGGGCTTTACATGGGAAATTAGCGCTATGTAGGTTATAATCATAGCAAATGTTAACTTACATGATAAGCTGCTTTTTCAGATAGAATTAACTGATCCTGGTTATTGAATTGCATATGCTGTTTTGTCACTCTTGAAAGGAAAATAAGAATCACCACATGTTTTGGCTGCTTCTTTTTTGCTCTTTCTCTTTCAAAGTTGAAGTACTTGGTTTGCATTCATCACAAAGCAAAATCTTTAATCAAAACGGCCAGCTCCAGGAAGAGTGCAGAATATCAAGCTAAGGAAAAAGCTAAAAAAACCCAAACCCCAACAATCCTCCAAAACCCACATGTGCACAGTCTGGTTGAAATAAATGTGCTTTGGGAGTGTAAGTCAAAATACGTAAAGAACATTACACAAAATGATATTGTGAGATTCTTTGCTTTAGGGAGAAAGGCTGCCTGCGGGGTGTGAGGGAGACATGACATGCCCTTTGCCTGTGAAGTCCAAGTAGTTTGTGACGCTAGATTCCATCATACGTTGTAGAGGAGAGAAGGTAGGACAGTAGAGGATATTTTTTTTTTTTTTTTTTGCTATAAAGCAAGAGTCTGTCTTGAGACTTTTGTGAGCCAAAGGAATTGTAGACAACATGAATGATTAACTGTCTTTTGTTTCCAGAATATTTTTCAGCCTTTTTTCTATTCTTTCCATTTGCCAAGCTACTATGTTATCAGTTATTTCAGGGGATATTCAAAATACCTGAAAAGGTAAAGCTTAAACAGTTTTTTTTTTTTTAAATCCTGTTATTCTTGAAGCAATGCAACCTATCCATTGCATTTCTATCTATAGAACAGTGTCTCTCATTTGACGTATGCAGATAATACAGAACTACAAAACCCCCTCACTTGTGCCTGAGGTTTGATGAGCCTTTCTGCGATTTATTTCTTAATATGTGTACTTTGAAATCCCTGCACCTTGTACTGAAATTTGCTCAAAGGATAGGCAAAAATGCACTAACTAATGGAGTACCCAATCCTAGTTCTGAGATATGCCCTAGCCAATCTTCTAATAATGTTTGACAGTCTGGTGGTCAGTTTCTCAAGGATCTCCATCTCTGATTGAGGACATTCTTCAAGTACAAGAGCCTCTGGATCTTTGCAGGTAGACAGAGAATCATATTTCACTCATCACAGCAAAGCATACAGCAGGCATGGCCATCAGCTTCTTGATCTTATGAGTGAAAATAGCGCTCTTTTCTCTCAGATGTCAAATCTTAACCCAAACGGATGAAGTACAGTAGAGATGGAAGTTCCCAGTGTGTTAAAGGGAGCCAGACACTATTCCAGATACCAGAAAGTCTTAGCATAAACCATATCATAAAGAGGGTGTATGAACAGGCCAAGCTGCTTGCCTTTGACACCTCTTCTACTGCTACTACTTTTGTAAAATCAACCAAACACCACCAGTGAAAAATGAAAGAGAACTAAAGCAGTGCTTTTGCACTAGACAGGTAGAAACTTCCCTGGCCTGTGGATCTAATCCAAATATTCACTGCAGTGCACTCAGATGCTTTTCAAATAAAATATGCAACATCTGTATGGATATCAGTACCCTGAATCTGACAGCTGTTAAGGAGAGATAAAGCTATAATGTGATTTTCCTGTAGCAGAAAACAGATGCATCCCTTTAAAAAGTCTGGGAACCTCTTGCACTGTTTGATGTGCAGTCATCAAGAGGAGACACTTGGTGTGACTACAGCCTTTCTTAAAGATTGCCAGCACACCTCCTACTAAAGGGCTACTTAAAGCATTCCATGTCTAGGGAGCTAACTGATGAACCACTCCCCAGTTAAAGAGTTTTGGGGAACAGCAGTTCAGAGAGAATCTGCAGTTGTATGTAATTGTGATGAATTAGAAAAACATCAATTTAAATTGAAGTGATGCGTTTGCTATGATTTCACATCTGCAGTGTTCCCGATGTTGCCTGGATCTTCTAGAGGAGTGTCAGATGACTTTGCCCTGTGCCTTTCTCCAGGAGGAGAATGTGCTTGGACAGCCCCAAATTTGATTCAATGCTTTGAACTTGGGATCAGAAAGCAATTTTGATTACAAGCTGGTAGTTGTCCATATCAGAAAAATGAGGTGAAAGCAGTATATTAATGCTAGGATTCTCTTTATAGACTCTATAGAGGTTTACCATTTCAAGTGCTTGGCTATGTGGATAGTGGGGTAGGAGATGAACTTCCAGGTGCATTGATTTCTCTGATGTGAATAGAACAGTGTCAGCTCCACAGTTCACCTGAGGTGAATGGAGAGTGTTGGTCAGGGACTGCCTGTTGGACCACCCAGGATTATGCTACATGAAATGATATGCAAAAACTGAAAAATTACTTGATAGTTGAAGCTGTTGAGCAACAAAAATGAGTGTTTTCTTGAAATGAGATTTTAATATTATGTTCAGGTGTGTTTTAATTTTCATGTTTCTTGCCCTTACACAAAATACAAAATTACTACATGACATGGAGGCCTATTGATTTTTCACAGGACTATTTCCCATTGAAGGTGTTTATCCAAGAATTGTTCCTCATTTTTAAATATTTTCTACATATTTGTTAGTAAAGTTACACATATCCCTCTTTCACTATTTCCCATGCACAGAGATCTTGGAAATGAACTTAAGAAAAGGAAGAAGAACAGTGCTTTGAAAAGAGAAGACTTATGCATAAGCAGGTTATTTTTAGAAAACAGAACTACTCTCTGAAGAAAATA